GTAGGAGGGGTCCCTGGAAGATGCTCCCCGGGATGCCCTGATGCCTAAAACGTTCCCCATTGGGCCTTCTCAGGGAGGGGGGTTATGGCAGCCTGTTCTCTCCAGCCACCTCCATCACCACAGGAGCCCTTACAGACGTCACGGGAGAGAATTGACCCACTGGAGCCAGGACCAGCATGGATGCAGCCCTGGGGCTCAGGCTAAGTGGACTCTGGGAGACCATCACTCTGTTTTCAAGCTTTGGTCTCCTGGCCCTCTACAAGCCAGGCTGTTTCAGGCTTTGCATGAGGCCTTGCACAGAGACAGAGTTCAAACACAGCTGGTGAACACAGCGGGCTTTAGGGAGGGGGCACATACCTAGTGGTGGGGGCTGGGTACCAGGGAAAGGAGGCCCTGGGGCTAGCATGGCCTGTCTGGAGGTGACATAATGACACATGAACCATGTGCGGAGGGAGGATCCACCTGCAAGTGTGGACGAGCCAGACAGCCACCAAGCTGGATGGCCACCGCCAGAGCCTGCAGGACAGCAGAGGGGGCTGGGAAGGGACAGAGGACAGCTGAAGGGCAGGGAACCTGGTTTCCTTCATACAGACATGTGAGTCTTCCTGAAGTGGGTCTTCCTCAAGGGAGTGAGGGGGCATTCAAGACACACCTTCAGTCCACCTCAAACCATCTCAGGAGGCCACCACCAACTCACACAGGCCAGCTGCATTGTCACAGTGACCCCAGAACAGCACAGCCCTGTCCTTCAGATGAATAAACAGAGGGAGAGACACATCTCACAGCCAGGAGCAGTGACTCAGACCAGGTCCAGCTGCAGTGCTGCCTCGATGGCTCCCCCTGCACCTCCTCCAGGACTCAGTTCCTGCTAACAAGTGAGCACCTGAGTATGGGTGAAATAGGTGCTATTATCCCTGTCCAGCTGCTGGGGAAAGGGAAGCAAGGCACAGGTGACTTGCCCAAGACCAACATGACAGGGCTGGTTCAACCCCATCTGTCTCAGCCAGCACATCCCCATGGCAGAGGCTTTACTGTGATCCAAACCTGGAAGGTGGAACTCCTTCCAATGTCCCACCCAGGGCACAGAGCATGCAGCCCCATGTTTGGGGAGGTGACAGTGGGGAGTGACAGTGTGGGAAACAATCTGGCTAGGCCATGGACTCATGGAGCCCAGGGTTTCCTAGGGCCAGGACAGCTCTGGAGCCCACTCCAAAACCTACTGTAAACCTGGAATCCGCACCTGCAGGAGATCAGGAGAGGGGTTCAGCCTCCACTGCACCTACAGCAAGGTGAGACAGGCACAGGTGGGCGCCCTGCTTCCAACCAGCCTCAGGTGGGCAGGAAGCAGATCTCCTGCCTGACCTTCCTCTCCTGCCTCCCCAAGCAGAGAGGGGCAGCCGCCCATCAGGCCATTGCCCAGACTGGCGCCGCTAAAGCTAGGTCCCAACAGGCGAGTGTGACCCCTGAGTATCCCAGGCCTGGCCCAAGCAGTCCTGTCTCTGGTGAGGACCTGCTGGACAGGAGATGTGATGTCCCCAAGTGGCTCTATAAACCTCTGATTGAGGAAAATCAAGGAAATGGACAAGACCATCATGCTCAGCCAAGAACCTGGCAGGCACAAGGGGAACCAGGGGCAGGCAAAAGTCAGTTTGGCCCCAGGCCTAGCCCCTGGAAGGATGGTGGATGAGGGGCCAGCACAGTGAAGGGGAATGGATGGCCACGGGCTGGGTGGCCAGGGCTCTCAGCTCCTGCAGCCCCTGCAGAACATCTGCCCTGGCCTGGCTCTGCACTCAGCCTTCTGCCTGGAGCCACAGGTGCCTGGACACTGGCCTCCAATAGGGATGGTGGTAGGAAAGGCACTGTGGCCACATGTGGGCACCTAAGCATGGGACAGAGGAATATCTTGCCCCCAAAGAAACCACAGAGGCCAAGAGCTTAAGCAGATGTGACACCATCAATAAACCCCCTTGTCCTGAGTCACATCAATTAAGTCAGCACCTACCCTGACCCTGAAGCTGCAGCTCAGTCTGGTTGAGACTCACAGAGAGATGTTAGTGCTGGGCAGGGGGCCTGGCCCAGCCTGCGATGTCCAGCAAAGCTGTGGGCTGGACAAGAATCTCTGAAGATTAGTCCAGGAAAAGGACAGCTGTGCCTGGGCAGGGAGTGGGGGCAATGCCCAAGGTGCAGGAGGCCTGAGGACATTTAACTAAGTAGGGTGCCGGTTCAGGATGCGCAGAAGAAAAGGTGGCATGGCAGCATCCTGCCCGAGGCCAGGCTATAAACCTAGGGGCCACCTTGTCTAGCCTAAACCATGCTGCCGCCCAGATGCCATCCTTCAAATGTGAGGCAGGGCTGGTAGAGCCCCCAGAACCCTCATCCCTCCCACCCTAAGCTGGTTTCCATCCATCACCAGAAGGAAAGGGGACTCTTCTATGGGGCACAGCATGCCAGGTTCTCTATCACCTGGGGGAAGGGGCCAGGGGGAGGGGGAGCTGCAGCTGGATGAGAAAGAACCCAGATCCCTCTCTGTCCCCACCTGACAGGTGACCTCCAGCAAGCTGCTTTCATTGCCTGGGGCCAAGGAGAGTCACAGGGGAGGGACCAGGTTAAAAGAGCTCCACCCTGGAGCCCAGAGCTACCTACAGAGAAAACCCCCCATCCTCCTGATTCTGCTCCCAGCTCTCGCTGCTGGGATAACATACTCACCATCAGAGAGGCTGTGGGAGGCAGAGGCTGACCCTGCTCCTTCAGGCACCACAGTGGGTTTGGGTCTACATTCTTCATGATCAGGGAGGGGGTCCCTGGGATCACAAAGGTGAGGGGCACCTTCTTGGGCTCCAGGTGCTCCAAAGTAGACCCTGCAGGGCACCAGAGCTAGAAGGGTGTTAGGGAGGCTGGGTGCAGTGGCTCAGGCCTGTAATCTCAACACTTTGAAAGGCTGAGGTGGGTGGATCACGAGGTCAGGAGATCAAGACCATCCCAGGTAACATGGTGAAACCCCATCTCTACTAACACTACAAAAAATTAGCTGGGCATGGTGGCATGCACCTGTACTCCCAGCTACTCGGAAGGCTGAGGCAGGAGAATCACTTGAACCCAGCAGGCAGAAGGTGAACAGGGCCAGGACCTGAGCTCTGCCTGGCCATGGTGACTCTGAGCCAGGTAAGCAATCTGTCACTGTGTCTCATGGGGGATGTCAGCATTACCTCTGGAGTCAAAGTAGGTAAGCCAGGGTAACCAGAGTTCCCAGTAGGGACCAAGACCAAAGGATGCAGGGGTCGGGCCTGTCCCAGAAGGTCAGATTGGATGAGGGGCTCTGTGAAGGTGGGGCAACCGAGAGCCTGCCCTTCAGGTTACAGGCATCTGGGTCCTGGTCTAGACCCTCATATGCCATCCAGTGACCCAACCCTAGGGACAATTCCTCCCAGGCTGGTAGCAGAGAGTCGATCCTTATACTCACCTTACCAAAAGCTCTGAAATGAGGGGGCCTATGGGTGGGGGAAAGACTCATCAGGACAAAGTTCTCAGGGGCAGGTATGGTTTTAGCTGGGCCTTAGGGCAGCGAGAGAGGTAGGTGACAGGCCCGCTCACAAAGCCTGCCAGAGCATGCAGGAGGGACACAGGTGTAGTGGTGAGAATGTTCTGGAAGTCAGCAGGCAGCCTCTTACTCACCGATGGGGCCAAGTACGGTCAGGTCCACACACCAGGAGAAGCTGGTATCCACACACTGGTGCACTTTGTTTCTTGTTTTAGAGACAGGGTCTTGCTCCGTTGTCCAAGCTGGAGTGCGGTGGTATAATCATAGCTCACTGCAGCCTTGACCTCCTGGGTTCATGCGATCTTCCCACCTCAGCCTCCTGAGTAGCTGGGACCACAGGTGCATGCCACCATGCCTAATTTTATTTTTTGTAGAGACAGGGTCTGGCTATGTTGCCCAGGCTTGTCTCAAGAGCTTTCCACCTCAGCCTCCCAAAACACTGGGATTACAGGGACAAGCAAGCACTCCTGGCCATGCTGGTGCATTTTGGCTGCCATGGTGCACAGGAGGTATGAGCTCCGGGGGTGCAGAGTCTGCTTCTGGACCTCTACCCAGGCCTGCACCCAGACTGACCCCTGGGCTGCAGGGAACAGGTGTGGAGAGAACGCAGCAAGCAGAGTGGGCTAGCCAGTGATGGAGACCCAGGCTGGGACTAGGAGAGATAGGGCTCCAACCCTCAGCCTAGTGGCCCTGCCCAACCCCTTGGGGCCAAGATGACTTCCTAGGAAGCCAGGCATGGAGGCCAGCATGCACCTGAACTGAGGACAGAAGACTCTGATGAGAGGGAGGTGGAGGCCTCTGACATAGTTTGGATACTTGTCCCATCCACATCTGGTGTTGAAATGTGATCCCCAATGCTGGAGGTGGGGCCTATAGTGTGAGGTGTTTGGGTCATGGTGGGGGACCCCTCTTGAAAGGCTTAGTGCCCTCTCCATGGTAATGAGTGAGTTTTCTTCTTTTGTTTTTTCTTTTTCTTTTTTTTTTTCTTTTTTTTTTTTTTTTTGAGACAGAGTTCACTCACAGCCCAGGCTGGAGTGCAGTGGTGTGATCTCAGCTCACTGCACCCTCCATCTCCCAGGTTCAAGTGATTCAATGAGTGAGTTTTTTATCAGTTCACAGGAGAGCTGGTTGTTTAAAAGAGCCTGATGCCTCCTCTCTCTTTCTTCCTCTCTCACCATGCGACAGGCCTGCTCCCTCTCCGCCTCCCCCCAGGAGTAAAAGCTTCCTGGGACTGTTTGCACCAGGGTCTGCACACCCGTCATCCCAGACCTCAGTCAGTACCTCCTTCCCTCTGCAGGCCCTCTCCCTCTGTCCATCTGCCTACTCCACATGCCCTGATCTGAAGCCTGCCTCCCCACCTCATGGAGCCCTCCAAGATGCTCCTAGCCCCAGATCTCTGGTCCCACAACACCTTCTGGGCCCAGATTCTGCCTTCTCAGAAGTCTGGGAGGCAGGGCTCCACCTGGTCATAGTCTTCTAGCTCTGCTCTAGGCACTCCTGGCCCCAAAGCCTCCAGCCCGCTGGGCGTCTTCATCTCCAGCTATGCCATGGCTCTCCTCATCCTGGGCCTCCTGCTCGTCAGAGTTGCCCTCGTCCTGGTGAGTGTCTGGCTGGGCCCGGGCTGCTTCCTGAGGGGCAGGCTCAACCATTGATGCCTCGAGCCTTTGAGCCAAGCTGAGGGGCGAGCAGATCCCTTTACACCCCTGATTCCCCCATCCAAGCCCAGCACCTCCTCATCCTCCAGCTGGGGCCATAGGGTTTAAGGCCAGGGGGGTGGGCCTGATCCCAGTGTCCCCGCCTTTCTTGTCAAGGTGCTAAACTTGAGGGCATGGCTTGGGTGCTGACGTTCCCAGGAACTCAGAGCCAGAGAGGGCCAGGCACCAGCCCAAAGTAACACAGCCAGGGGCTTCTTCCCTTCTGGACCCCCAATGACTGGACTTGCAGGGCTGGGAAAGAGGCAGAGTGGGGGAAAGCAATGAACTATCAACCCACGCAGGGAGCCCCACTCCCATTCCCAAGGTGCATAAGGTCAAGGAACACCCGTTTCCAAGTCCATGCTCACTCAGGGCCCTGCTCCAAGTGCTTGTCACTCACACCGGCCTCCCGCCCTCCATGCCACAGGTATCGGTCTCATTTACAGAGGGGGAAATGGTGGCCAAAAGCCTCCCCCAGCACACATAGCTAGACCACACAGAGGTCTTAGGTGCAGCTGAGGGGTCCACAGTCTCTGCTGCCCCTTTTGCCCCTGGTGCTCCCAGGGACCATGCTTTGGAGAGGGAGGAATAAGAGTGAGCTGGGTGCTCACACATGGGGCACAGGGGACTAGGGAAGGGTCAGCCAGGAGGAAAGGGCAAGGTCTGATCCTGTAGGTACAAATCCACAGCCCGCGGAGTCAGGAGAGCCAGGGTCAGGTCCCAGCTCTGCAGCTGCTTGGTATGTGACCATGGTTAAGTTGTCTCCCTGGACTCTCCATGCACTTTGTGCTGCATGCACCTTCTAGAAGGAGCCTGGACCCTGGCTGGCCTCATACTTGCTGCGTAGGCTGCAGATCCGCAAGTGCTTCTGCAAGGGGCTTTGCTTCTCCTCATAACAGCGGCACAGGCCGGCCGCTTGCTCTGGGGATAGAATGGAGTAGCTCTGTGGGTAGCAGGTGGGGGCTTGGCTTAGGTTCCTGGCCCAGACGAGGCAGAGTACACCTCAGGGTCACACGGCTTTGGTAGCAGCCCTTGGCCCACACAGGCTGCCCAGCAGCCCACCCACAACCCATACCTTTGGGCAGCCCCAGCTGCTGCAGTTCACTGGCCAAGGATTCGCCCTCGACACTGTGCTTGGCCGCACTGGAGAGGATGAAACTCAGCACTGCTACTGTGGCCTTCACATCGCCTGACTCTGATGGACCCGTGAGTGGGACAGGGGGTGTCACTGTGGCCCCAGCCACCTCCCAGTTGCCCTATTAACTTCAGCACAAAGCTCCCAGGCCTCCTGAAGCCACAGGCACTGCTCCTGCTCCACCAGGAACTGGCAGAGGACAGGAAGGTGGGACTGTCCATGTCTTTCTTTCCCTCATGCTCCTCCACTAGGGAAGGTAAGTTAAGGATGCTGCAGGGAGGGGTGGGGGGCCCCTCTGTACCAGGCACCATGTCGAAGTCCCAGGGTTGCCTGGGGCCTGTGGACTCAGCGGGGTACTCACCAAACTTGGCATCAGCCATGAGCTTCAGGATCTTCTCATACTATGGGGAAAGGAGACCTTCGGGGGGTGCCAGTACCCTATTCACCAGCCCCTCACCCCTAGCCTGGATCCTGCAATAAGAACAGACAGGCTGGAAAGAAGTATGGGAGGTGCCCAGAGAGATTTCGAGGCTGGGTCACCCATCTCCCCGGGCCTAGTGCAGAGCTTCAGGGCACTGGGGGTCATAAGGTCATGGGACAATGGGGTGCTGGGTCTTGTACTCACATCATTCCCCTGTCCCAGCAGCTCTTTAGTACCTGGCTGCAGAGCAGCTGCAACTTCACAGAGGACTGGAAGGGAAGTCCTTACATCAGCCAGGCTGGCAAACCTCACCCCTCCTTCCTGGGGACTGGCTCAGAGCAGGCCAGCCGCTGATCAAGGTCACAAAGCATGGTAGCACAGGCTGAGACCACTGAGGTCCCAACCCCAGAAAAACCTCACCATCATCTACACCCACAATCCCCAGCCCCAGCACCCCTCCTCCACCCAGACTAGACCCTGTGCACTCAACCATCTTGGCCAGCGTGCCAATCTCTGCCAGGACCCACTTGGGACAGTCCAGATCACCAGAGAACTGAAACTTCTGCAAGGGAGGGAGGCAGGTAATCAGGCCTGAGGGAAGGCTGAGGTGTGGCCAGGGTCCGTGTCTCCCACACTTCTGTCCAGCAGGGAACCCTGGTCCCCATCACAGATGGACACCCTCTGGCCACTTGTTCTCCCCTATCACCAGGGTGTTGAGTGAACTCTCTCCCTGACCCACCCTGCCACCAAACCCTGCTCTGAGGTCTACTCCAGGCATTCGTCTGCTCAGCAAACATCAATCAAGCGCCTTCTCTGTGCTAGCTCCCACTCTAAGCGCTGGGGGTACAGCAGGGGATAAAACAAAGTCCTGGGCCTCACACAGATGGGTGATCTCTCTCCCCTCTTCCCCATACCCACACAAGTCCAGCCACTCCGGCTTCCCTGCTGCTGCTCGGGGACACCAGCCTTGCTCCCGCCGCCATGCCTGCTGCATTCTCTGTGTGGCTTGCTATCCTTTATTTCATTCCACTCTCGGCTCAAGTGACCCCTCATCAGACCGGCCCCCTCTTTTTTTTTTTTTTAAAGACGGAGTCTCGCTCTGTTGCCCAGGCTGGAGTGCAATGGCACAATCTTGACTCACTGTAACATCCGTCTCCCGGGTTCAAGCAATTCTGCCTCAGCCTCCCAAGTAGCTGGGACTGCAGGCATGCACCATCTCACCCGGCTTTTTTGTATTTTTAGTAGAGACAGGGTTTCACCATGTTGGCCATGCTGATCTCGAACTCCTGACCTCAGGTCATCCACACACCTCAGCCTCCCAAAGTGCTGGGATTACAGGCTTGAGCCACTGCACCCGGTCAGGCCGGCCCTTCTTGATCATACTTCCTAAAATAGCCCCTCACACAAGGAAATTTTGGGGGTGGGTGGATATGTTCATTATCTTGATTGTGGTGATCCAAGAGCCAGGAAGATTTGATCTTTACTTGTGCAACCTCATCTTTCCCTAACCTCCAGATGATACTCTCCCAGCTATGGGAAATGTATTCATTCCTGGGGAGCCATGCTCTCTCTAACCTGGTCTCTGCACATGCTGTTCCCTGTCTGAAGACATACACCTCCCACCCTTGCCTCCCAACCCCTGGTACACAAACTACTTCAGCCAGCCAGTTCCTGCCATCGGCCTTTAAGGTTGATGGCATCCTCAGGGAGGCCCCTTAGCACTACACACAAGGCGTGGTTAGGTCTCTGCCCCTGGAGCCTTAACTATGACTGCCAATTCAAGCCTCCGATTTCCCCTTCCCTCGCAGCTCAAGTCGTCCCAGTGCCTAGCACACTTCATGGTATGGACTAGACGCTTAGAACGCACGGATGGATGGATTGGATGGATGGATGGGTGGATTAGATGGATGGACAGATAAGTCTCAACCCCAAAACTACTACTTTCGGGAGAGAGTGGAGGGGCTTCCTAACACTGTGGAAGGGTGAGACTGATTCTAAGCAAGTGTCCAAGTCCCACAGGAGGGCTGGGGAAGACGGTGTCCTTGGGAGGTCCTCTTGGGGCTGGGGAAGACCTGAAAGGACTCCCAGCTCCAGACAAGCCCCACTTCCTGCCCCCGGAGACAGGGGCCCTTCCTCCCGCCAGGGAAGCGCGGGGACTCTGAGCTGGCCGGCCTGCTCCGTCTTACCCGCCCCTCACCCCCGCCCCCGTCTCGGGAGCGGGATGGCGGTGGACTTTTCTCTACCAGACCGGCAGCCCTCACGCTCGCACACACTGTATTTCCGGAGAGGCCAGGGCAGACAACCTCCCCCGTTTCCGGAGCCACTGGCGCCCCCGAATTCCCGCTCCAGCAGCCCATGCCTTGCTTCACCCCTGGCGCCTCATCATCGCGCCAGGAAGGGCCCGGGAATTTCTTTTCCCAGTCGCGTGGGGTCAGCTGATTCCACGATCACGTGACTTGGACTAACGGACTCTGGGAGGGCGGGGGCTGTTCCAGTGAGGTTGAGAGCGGACCGCAGCCCACTGGAGGTGCTCGGGCGAAAAGCTGGCGTCTCCTCCTCCTCTCCCAGAATCCTTCCCTGGAAAAAAACCAGCGCCCACCGCCAGTTTAACTGACAGTGGGAGTTATTTCATTTGTTTAACTTAAGTGGGCAGGATCCTGGGAGCCGGGGAGATTCAGGTCATTGCCATGTTTTCCGCTGTTAAGCGAATAGCATTATACACAGCTGCGGGCTGTGGCAAAAGACATTTTAAAAACTATTTAAAATAATCTACTACACATACAGAACATTGTACCTATTATAAATATAAAGCTTAATAAGTTTTCATCAACTGTAAACCTCACATAACCAGCACCCAGATAAGGAAATAACCAGATAACTTCTTCAAGTGCATGGGTATTTTATTTCATTTTGATGAGTCGTCTAGGTGCCTAACAAAAAGACTGTCATAATTAACATGCTCAGGAAAACTCCCTAAAGCTTCAACATCAATAGATTCTTAATTATTGCCAATCGGATGGGGAAAAAAATTCGGTTGCTTAGATTGCAGTGGTAGTCAGCTTACTGGTAGCTTTGAGCTAATGGGTAATCTAGAACAACTAAGTTTCTGACATTGACTTGAAGAGGCAAAAACAAAAAGACAAAACAACAACAAAAATACATTAGAGAATAGACTAATAACCAGAGAAGAAATTGAATACAGTCATCCCTTAGTAACCTCAGGATATCGGTTCCAAGACTCCAGAGATACCAAAATTCACCGATGCTCAAGTCCCTGAGATAATATGGCATAGTATTTGCAAATAACCTATACACATCCGTCTGTAGATTTTAAATCATCTCTAGATTACTATAATACCTAATGCAACATAAATGCTTTGTAAATACCTGTTATGAAGTATTTATAAATGTATGTTTTTTATTGTTTTACTTTTTCCAAATATTTTTGATGCAGTTGGTAAAACCCAGGGATCCCGAACCCGAGGATACAGAGGACTGACTGTAGTTTGAGCTCTGTCCTCAATTCCATGCCTATCCCATGCACCAGGTGCAGCTGGTTTGATTGTTGCAGGCTTTCAGGTTTTCAAAAGACAGAGCTCATGACAAGTAAACTGCTCTATAGAATAGAAAGAAATGGAAAGTGTCCCAATTCATGGTAAAATTGAGCTCGTTTCTGAAGAGTTCTTTTACAAATCATAAGCACTAGCCTGTTGAAAACAACAATATGTCAAGTTACTAGACTATCCTATACCATGTCGAAGAAAAATTTTTTAAGAACATAAGACCTGTAATCATAGCATTTTGGGAGGCCAAGGCTGGTGGATCACTTGAGCCCTGGAATTCTGGACCTGGTTGGGCAACATTAGGAGACCCCAGTCTCTACAAAAAATTAGCCACTTGTGCTGGTGCACACGTGTCGTCGCAGCTACCTAAGAGGCTGAGGTCAGAGGATCTCTTGAGCCTGGGAGGTGGAGGCTGCAGTGAGCCACGTGATGGCACCACTGTACTCCATCCAGCCTGAGCAACAGAATGAGACCATGTCAAAAAAAAAAAAAAAAAAAAAAAAAAGCTGGGCGCAGTGGCTCATGCCTGTAATCCTAGCACTTTGGGAGGCCGAGGCAGGCAGATCACCTGAGGTCAGGAGTGGGAGACCACCCTGGCCAAAATGGCAAAATCTCTCTCTACTGAAAAAAAAAAAAAAAAAAAAAAAAAAAAAAAAAAAGCAGGGCATACTGCTGGGTGCCTGTAAATCCCAGCTACTCGGTAGACTGAGGCACAAGAATCACTTGAACCTGGGAGGTGGAGGTTGCAGTGAGCCAAGATCACACCACTACATTCCAGCCTGGGCGACAGAGTGAGACTCCGTATGAAAAAAAAAAAAAAACCACAGAAGAATGGCTCAACTTTAGTTTCATCCTATCAATAGCTTAAAGAAGAGAAAAATGGATAGATTTGGAAAACCACTTTTTATTTAAAAAGAGAAAATTAGGAAAAGATGAAAACTGTCTTAGTATTTGAAAAACAAAACAGCAAATTTAACATCAGACAGACAAAATATTTAAATTCAAAAATAAAGTTAATGGTGGGTGGTGTGCCCCTTTAATGTCATACTGTAGCATTTTTCATAGATACTTATTTTATAATTAAAGATTATTTGACTATTTAGAGCAGTGATCCTGACACATTAGAGTGCATCATAATCACTTGCAGGGCTTGTGAAACTGGCTGCTGGGCCCCACACCAGAGTTTCTAACTCAGTAGGACTGAGGTGGGGCCTGAGCATTGCATGTCTCTGTTCCCAGGTGATGCTGATGCTTCCAATTTGAGACCATGCTTTGAAAACCACTAGTGTAAGGAAATATACTAGAGAATATGTTATGAATATACTGGAGAATATGTGTATAAGTTAACTTACAGATTTCTGTCCAGTAGGAAAGATAACTCCCAAAGAGGACAGTTTTATTTCCCAATATGATTTTTTTTTTTTTTTTTTGAGACAGAATCTGCTCTGTCACCCAGGCTGCAATGCAGTGGCATGATCTCGGCTCACTGCAGCCTCTGCCTTCCATGTTCAAGCGATTCTACTGCCTCAGCCTCGTGAGTAGCTGGGACTACAGGCACCCACTACCGCACCTGGCTAATTTTTGTATTTTTAGTAGAGACAGGGTTTCACCATGTTGGCCAGGCTGGTCTTGAACTTCTGACCTCAGGTGATCCTCCCACCTCGGCCTCCCAAAGTACTGGGATTACAGGCATGAGCCACCACGCTCAACCTCCCTTTAGTATATTAACAAGTTTTGTCTCTATTTCAGAATGCATTTCAGAATGCCCTTCCTGGAGCATTGCAGACACTGTCTCTCAAAACACTCCTCGAACTAGCTTCACCGTGTTGCTGACTCCCTTGTAAATTAAAGAAAATATCTTATACATATTTCTTCATTATTTGTGTGAAAGTCAAGCTTTTCATATTGTGAAAATTATACTTCAGGCTGGGTGCAGTGGCTCACGCATGTAATCCCAGCACTTTGGGAGGCCGAAGTGGCAGGATCACTTGAGGCCAGGAGTTTGACACCAGCCTGGCCAACATGTTGAACCCCATGTGTACTCAAAAAAAAAAAAAAAAATCAAAATTAGCTGGGTGTGGTGGCACACACCTGTAGTTCCAGCTACTTGGGAGGCTGAGGCACAAGAATTGCTTGAACCCCGGAGGCAGAGGTTACCATGAGCTGAGATCATACTACTGCACTGCAGCCAGAGCCAGAGCAAGGCTCTGTCTCAAAGGGGGAAAAAAAAAATGAAGAAAGAAAATTATACTTTGATACAGTATGCTAATATAAAGGATATGATATGGTTTGACTCTGTGTTCCCATCCAGATCTCACCTTGAATTGCAATAATCCCCACAGGTCAAGGGTGGGACCAGGTGGAGAAAATTGAATCATGGGGGCGGTTTCTCCCATGCTGTTCTCATGATAGTGAGTGAGTTCTCATGAAATTTGATGGTTTTATAACAGGCTTTCCCCTTTGCTTGGCTCTCCTCTCTCCTGCTGCTCTGTGAAGAGCTGTCTTCTGCCATAATTGTAAGTTTCCTGAGGCTTCCCCATCCACGCAGAACTTGAGTCAACTTAAACCTCTTTTCATTATAAATTACCCAGTTTTGGGTATTTCTTCATAGCAGCGTGAGAATGGACTACTACAGTGTACTAATAACAGCCCAGACAGTAGTATACAGGTGCTGCTATACTTTGATGCTAGAGGTATTCCCATTAAGGTCAGGAGCAGTATGTGCTATCATTACCATGATCTAACATTGTTCCAGAGGTTTTTAGGTCAGCAGTTGTCAACTGGAGGTGATTTTGCCTCCCTGGGGATATTTGACAATATCTGAAATGATTCTGGCTGTCACACTGAGGAGTGCTACTGGCATGTGGCAGGCGGAGGCTGGGGATGCTGATAAACATCCTGTGAGGCACAAACAGCTCCATAACAAAGAATTATCCAGCCCAAAACGTCAATAGTGCTGCTGTTGAGAAACCCTAGTCTAGATAAATAAAACATGGGAAATCCATTAACATAAATGTGGGAAAATAATAAACTAGTATTTGCCAATGACAGTCTAGCTAGGAGGTCCAAAAGAAGCACCTGGAGAACAGATTTTGCAGGGGCTGCATGTTGGCTCATGCCTGTAACCCCAGTGCATTGTGAGGTCACATTGGGAGGATCTCTTGAGGCCAGGAGTTCAAGACCAGCCTGGGCAACATAGTGAGACTGCACCTCTACCAAAAATTAAAACATCAGCCAGATGTGGTGGTGTGCTCTGAGAGTCCCAACTGCTGAGGTGGCAGTATTGCTTGAGCCCGGGAGCTGGAGGCTATGGTGAGCTGTGATCATGCCACTGCACTGAAAAAAAATTTTTTTGAGACAGGGTTTTTCTGTTACATAGGGGGTCTTGCTATGTTGCCCAGGCTGGTCTCGAATCCCTGGCCTCAAGCAGTCTTCCTGCCTCAGCCTCTGAAAGTGTTGAGATTACAGGTGTGAGTCACTCCCCCTGGCCTTAAAAACGAAAAAGAAAAAAATAAATTACATGGTGTCATATGGCCAGTTGAAAGATGTTGGAAAACAGTTGTGCTTGTGATCCCGCTGTAACCAGTTATAAAAGTATCCGGATTAAGAAATGTACTGGGTCTGGCTTTCCCAAGTTTAGGTTCCTGCTAAAAGAATGAGATGGATTTTTTCCTCCTCTGCTCCTCACCTTCCTGCAAGAACCAGGATTGTGCATTTTGACGGGCAGGCTCTTACCTCTGGCAGGCCACGGGGGCATGCAGAGCCTTTCTGCTTGTGCTTTTGGGCACTTAAGTAAAGACCCCCAGTCCAGGCCTTTGTTTAGGATATTTGGCCCATGGAGGAATGAGGCTGGAATCACCTGGGAGGGATAGAGGCTTCAACTGGAAGGAGGAGTGACCTGAACTCCAGGTTCTGGGCCTACACTTTGTTCCCATGCAGCACCCTGTTAGTGGTGACTGGGGCCTGGAAGTCAGGGACCTTGGTGACCAAGTGTTGGGTGGACAGGATGAGCTGAGGGAGGTGAGGGGCATTTCTCCAGTACTGCCCCCTCCCTGGTCCCCAAATCAATGCCCTCTGTCAGCTCAGACACAGCCCCGGCCAGCAGCAGTGCAGGTCGAATGCAGTCAGCACGGATCTGCTCCACAGTCTCCGCCTCACTTCATCTCGGG